GGTGGTTCCTACCTGCTTCAGTGGTATAGTCCCAGTTTGGCCGGGTTAAAGGAAAAGCCTCGTTAATCAAATTTGGGAGTTGGGTAGGTCGCCCATCATCCCCTGGTACATTTTTGCGAGCTTCCAAAAGAACTTTTTGTTTCTCCTCTGAAGTGAGGAGAATCTGCAAGAGTTGCTGGCAGTCATCCCATGTTGGCTGGTGAGTCACTAGAATAGATTCAATCAGAGAGGTTAAAGCTACAGGGTCTTTAGCAAAAGAAGGATTATGAGTTTTCCAGTTATAAAGGTCAGAGGCTGAGAATGGCCAATACTAATATTGGCTATTGGGACCCCCCGTTTGCCGCAGGGGGAGAACTTTAGAAGTGTCCCCTGGTGCCGTGTGATCCCGTCGTCCTCGGAGTCGTCCCGCCATGGGGGATGGATCTGGGGGAGCACTGGTGGTTGGACCCTCTTGGTTGTTTTTTTCTTCCTCCGAGGAAGGTGGATTGGACCCAAGGGTTGGCAAGGGCTGGGGCTGATAAGGAGGAGGCTCATCAGATAGCAGGTCAATTAGGGCTGAGTCTTCTGGTGGCAAAACCTTCTTTGGTGTTGCCCCTGGCTTAGTTGAAGTTTCAGATTTGTCGAGAACAGGATAAAGTTGGGAGGTTTGAGGGGGTAGAGGTGGAGGAGGAGGAGGAACTGGAAGGAGAGGGGCAGAGGGCTCGAGGGGAGAAGAATGAGAAGGGGACTTAGGAGGAGAGAAAGGAGCCACCCAGGAGGGTGGCTTGGAAGCTAAATCTCCCCAGGTAATAATATAGGGTATTTGATCAGGGTGTCCCTGAGGACCTTGGATGAAGATTCGAGACTTCACCTGTAAGATAGAATCAATGTTAAAGGTTTCTTCAGGAGGCCAGCTGGTATTGAATGTTGGCCATTCTGAGGCACAGAGAGTTTTCCATTTTTTTCTTTTTGACCGTCACGGACAGGTTGTTTGCGCGCTTTTGGACGTCTTGCCAATGATCTAAAGTAAGGCTCAAAGGGGTAGTTAGAGTGTTCCCCATATTTCTTTCAGACAGAAAGTAGACAGACAGACACAGAAGTACCAAAAACGAAACTGAACGGGACAAACGCTGCGCGGTGCCGGCAGAAACGGAAAGAATCAGATGGCTTGGGAGAAGTTAGTACTTCTCTTTCGCCTACAAAGACAGTGTATCCTTCAGA